AGCCATGGGAAGAAGGCTTAATGAATGTGTTTTGTGCAGTAATTAACTGTAATTTGCTTGTTAATTCCAGTACTGTGCTCGGTGCAACGTTGCTGTTTTCACGATCTCTTTGTGTGTTAATGCGCCTGAAGATTTGTTGCAATAAATTTCAGCAGTTGCGATGTCATATAAAAAAGAGGTTGGCGATGATGATGATGATGATGATGGAGGAAACGATGACGAGGACGACGCAACAGTAGCGGCAGCGAGTGCTGCCGAAGAGGAATTATCGCGAAAATTCAAATATGCAACACTGTGCGAATATCTGGATCGCATGCAGCGCATTCGCTGGAACGACAAGTTCGGCAAGCAGAGGGTTCTCAATGCACTGATGGCAAAATGGTCTGCAGAGGCCGGTTCCAATGAGAGCACCCCATCAGCAGCAGTAAGCTTCTATCCTGTTCTTCGGATCATGGCAAATTCTTTGGACGAACGCAAATTCAACATGAAATCGGTTAGTTTTGAAGCAAAAAGTTTTTGGTAATTCTTTTGTATTGAAAGTGTCAGTTTTTCTTATTTCGAGTTAAAGTTAAGATTTTTCTATATTTGCTTTTCCTGGAAGAAACGAAGGCAGCTGAAGTGGCTCGAGAACTACATTAGATCGTTAAGTGATCTTATTTTCGAGTTAAAGTTAGAATTTTTCTATTTTTGCTTCTAAGAGAAACTAAGGCATCTAGAGTGGTTCGAGGGGTGCATTAGATTGTTGTTTTATTGCAGCGTTTTGTATAATTGTAGCAGCTGTTTCGTATGAGGATGTTTCATGAATTAAACGCCAAATTAAATTGTTTTGGGGCATTTACTCCGCTTCCAGCATCTCTTTTGCTAGATTGTTTTTTTTTTTTTTTTTTTTTTTTTCAAAGAATAGGGCTTGAACTAGTGCCACCATTGCTTGTGATATTGCTTCATTATTTGTGCTGCCCCATAAGTGAAATGCACTGGTGTGAGTCGTGTGCTTTCAGAAAAAGCTTATCTGGAAAGTGTGCAAGGTGCTGTGTTTGCCAGCAAAAACGAAGAAAGAGCTAATCGAAGCCGATTCGAGGGTATATTTATTTCGTTCTCCGTCTGTTTAGAATTCTTGACCTTGTTCTTATTTGGTTTGCGCACATTAATGGCGCAACCAGTTTACAGTACAATCCAAATTAAGAATTATTTTGGTAAATTAAGAATTATCTGGAACTTAAGAATTATTTTTACGAATTTAAACTCATGGTTTTTTTAATGTTACCTAGATTTTTCTCCAGACTCAGAATTTTACTTGGCTCAGGGTTATTTGTGGTTAAAAAAAGATTTTGCATTTTTCAAGCAAACGTATTCTTGTGTTCAGTTACCTGACTTTTATGCCTACTAGTGACCAAAAATATCTTTTTTCTCACTTGTACGTTAACTTTCCTGTGCGTTTTGATGAACGCTTTCACTGAAATTGATTTCCTAGCTCAGGC